TCAACTTCAGTCACACAACATACCAAGAACTTGACATGGAAGGAGCATCAGCAGCAGTTGCCCATGTGCAAAATGAGCATCAAAGTGATATGTTATTCCAACAATGTCTAAACATGAACTTCCTTACACAAATGGTAACGTTTCATACCTATAGAAGAAATAGAGAAAAAAAGCCAAGAAGCATACTTGACTTACTATCACAGACGAACCAGACCGAATTATCGATCTATGTATGGCGACTCACTAGGTCACACACCAGCAGGTGAATCACATTGCTTTATCATTGGTTCATTTGTAACAAACAACGACAGAATGACAGACAACAACGAAAAGAGGTATTTATGGGACAGAGCAAACTACGATGCCATCTCAGCACAAATAATAGCCATCGATTGATAAGTACCTTCAATTCTTTTTCAGCTAATGACAACTATAAATTAGTAATAGAAAAAGTTAATGAAGCAATCAAAATCCACATACCCGCAACTACGTTACCTTTCAAGAGTAAAAAAGAACCATGGAACACCCCTGAAGCTGAAGTAGCTGTGAGAAAGAAGAGAGCACTATGGCGCAAATACTTAGCAGCCGGTAGATAGACGCATGAGGAAATTCGTCATGAACACAAAGCAGCATGTAAAAGACTCAGCAAGATGGTGAAAGCAGCAACAGTTGACTATGAGTGGGAGATCGCAGCACATTTCAACTATGACCCAAAACAACTTCATACCCAAGTTAAGTATAAGCAAATGGAAAATGAAATGGTAAAATCCCTTGAAAACGTTGCAGGAAAAATAACTACAAGTATGCAAGAAATTTCACATTTACTTAATAACTATTTTCAGTCTGCATTTGTTGTTGAGCCTCTAGATCAAATGCCAAACTTTAGATATCGAACCCAAGCAAAGTGCAATTTAAATGAAGCTACAATCACACATGCAACTGTACAGCAAAAGTTTGAAAAACTAATTGAAACAAAATCTAAAGGATATGATGGAATGCACCCTCGTGTACTTCGCAACTGCAGCACAATTGCGAAGGTACTTGGTCGGCTTAAGAAATCCTTTAGAAGCAGAAATCTCATACTTTGGAAAGTCCTTTACAAATCGTATGTACCACAAATCGTATGTACCACACCTTGAATTCGCCATCCAATCGTGGTCGCCACATCTGAAGGGAGACATCAAGGCTCTCGAAAGCATTCAAAAGCGTGCAACGAAGCTGCTCACAGACATCAAACATAAATCATATGAAGAAAGACTTACAATACTTGGATTAACGATGATAGGATAAGGTTAAGATAACGATGATAAGATAACAATACTTGGATTAACGAAGATAGACAAGTTAGAAATGATTTAATTCAGCAATATAAGATTGCGCATGATATTGAGAAAATCGAATTTGTTGTGCCTCAAGTCTACGCGCTGATAGTCAAGAGCTGTGTCGAAAGAGAAAAGTTCTTCACAAACCGCATAGTCTAGGAATAAAATGCTTTACCATCTAACGTTGTAAACGCCTTTTCAACCAACGCATTCAAAAGTCGATTTGATGCATTAACAGTCTAAGTATAGACACATCGTGTGTCCGATATTTGTCAGCATGGAGGTGTCTGGTGCTGCACCTCTTCATCGATAAACATTTTAATTTTCAATTATAAATATTTTAATCTTCATGGACTAAAATTGTTATAAATATTATTGATTTCTGAATAAACAAACAAACAAACAAACAAACAAAAACAAAATATATATATATATATATATATATATATATATATATATATATATTATATATATACATATATATATATATATATATATATATATATATATATATATATATATATATATATATATATATATATATATATATATATATATATATACATATATAAATATGTATAAAATAAATAAAATTAATTTCAGAAAAAAAATTTACTTTATTAAAATAGTCACCCAACACAGCCCAGATTCTTGACCATTGCAATCGAATACGACCCATGTTATAATAGGCAATTTCAATTATTTTTTGTAAACTATACATTCTTGGTTGAGCAGGATTCGATAACTCTTCCATCGATACAGCTGCTAGACCAGTAACAAAGTCAACAATAGCATCCCCATCTAATCGTATTGACCCAGTAAATATTCTATCAACTGCAACAACAACACTTTGAGATGATGTTTCACCCATTGATTCTTGAATGCTAGAAAACTTCTTAGGATCAATAATACTATTATTTTGACTTGTACTTTGATTACTAACTAAACCTCCAACATTAACAATTGGAACCATTCCACTGCTTGCATATCGAGGTTTTATACCAGTTCCAATTAGTTGAAGAAGTTCTAAATGGGAAATACATTGTAAAATCTCAAACCAAGAGTGACCCAAATAATTTCCATCAGTATATGCAACTGTTATAAGTGTTTTTATTGTATCAATATTTTTCGCTCTCATCTCTGTAATAACTGCATTCGCCATAAGCATACTGAACTGACAAAGTGCCTGAATATATGCATCTCTTTCAAGCTGAAAAACAGATTTACATATACAAGTCTTAAATAAAATAATATAAACAAAAAATAAACAAAAAATCTTTATTAAATAAATTTTTCTAAATTGAACCCAAATAACAACTTTATATATTTTTAAATTTAAAGTTTTTTAATCATCATTTAAAGTCGATCAGAATTTTAAGTTTTACAAAAGAAAAAAAAATTAACTAATTAAAATTAAAACATTAATATGACGCACAAACATAGAAATTGTAGAATAAAAATTTGTAAAGAATTAACAATTGTATATTTATATAGATGAAGGGTCTAAGGGGAAAACTAGTGACGCCACGTCTTTTTCATTTAGGAAAACAAAAAAAAAAAATAGCTTGAAGACTTATCTTACTATTTTATTTGCAGTTATATCTTTGTAAATTAGTATGATCTATTACATGATAAATTAAGGTGAAAATACTTTTTAGGAATTTAAATGATAAATGCTGAATTGAATCCTGGAAAGAGTGTCCCTTTTGGACATCACTGGTTTTCCCCTTGTAATTTTAGATTTTGATTTAGAATACAAAATAACGTTCAATATGTTGCTTATAATATGTTCAAACACATTTCCTTTGAGTTGAATTTAAATTTTTTTCAATTTCAAACAATAACCACAGTCAGGAGACGTGTGGAAAAACAAAAGAAACCTTTACATCACTTTAGATTTACATCACATTTCGCCGATAAGTTATTTTATAAGCTTTTTCGTAATATGCTTGAAAAATTAAAATTTATTTAACTCATTTAGTTAATTCTTATTTTGACAAACTTTTTAACCATCAACCCTTTTAACCTTTCACCACCCTGAGGCTAGCTTTCTAATCTTTGACTCTTAGGTTAACAAAAATAGAAAAAATTTCAACTTGAAAAAAAAAAAAAGTACATATGGGGTAAGTAAAGAAAACTCTGATACTGATTCATCATCGCTTAACTGACCTTTGTAACTGACCTTTGTAACTGACCTTTGTAACTGACCTTTGTAACTGACCTTTGTAACTGACCTTTGTAACTGACCTTTGTAAACTGACCTTTGTAACTGACCTTTGTAAGGCAGATAATTAAAAAACTGCTAGGCATCAGACGTGCAAAAATGTTTTATAAAATGATAGTATGATTTGTTGAAATCATTTTTTAATTACTACGTTAAAGTATAAAAAACAAATAATAGTCCAATTCTTATTTTGCTCAGCACATGAATCACAAAAAAGCTGCAAATGTGATACATCTTTTGGTAAAATGTTGTCAAAATAGTGCTCCAGCATGCTTGCTACATTATCTGCTCCCTTTTTTTCCATAAATTTCATCATAAGAAAATAAGTTTGATCCTAAGCAGTGTATATTAAATGTGTACATAGAAAGCTGTCTACGATAATAAATGTCATTTGTAGAAACATTAGGACAACTCATATTTTTAGCAAAGTTAAATGCAAGAGCTGCATGGCCAATTTTTGCATAACACAAAATTGAATTTCTGTAGTATCTGATTTTGACATTTATCTGCCATTTTTACAAAGTTTTTTTTTTTGTAAAATGAAATTTGATTGAGTATTACACAAATAGTTGTAAAAAGTACTCCTTTACAGAGTAGACATCTCTGATTTATCCCATGAACAAGTTGGACATATCTGTTTTACTCTTTGTGACCCCTTTTTTTCAAATTGAAATTTAGATATGATATAACTTATTTTTTTTGATATCCATCTTTTAAAGATGCACCAACTTACCTACAACATAGTAGGGATAATAACTCAAAAATTGTTAATATGTGACATCACTGGTTTTCCCCTTAGACCCTATATATATATATATATATATATATATATATATATATATATATATATATATATATATATATATATATATATATATATATATATATATATATATATATATATATATATATATATATATATATATATATATATATATATATATATATATATATATATATATATATATATGTATATATATATATATATATATATATATATATATATATATATATATATATATATATATATATATATATATATATATATATACACACACATTAGGGTGTCCCTTACTTTTCAAAGTTTTTATTTTATAAGGCATAGGTCTTAGTTTTGTTCATTTGCTTCTTAAACACTCGAAAATAAATTTTTAATTTAGTTGGAGTACATTAACTCGTGCCAACTTGCATCAAATCATGTTCATACAAGTTGCGCAATAGTTGCACTTACTTGCGTTATTGTTAAAATGCTCAAAGTGATTTTTACAATGATGAAAAATTAACAAATAAAAATACATAACTATTTTCTTGATAATTTGATACCAATTGATAATAGTAAATAGATAATAATTATCTACTTACAATAGCTGTTAATAGATAGTTATTATCAATTTTGCGACATTGTAAAAACCGATTTAAGCAAACCCGAAATTATAGAAACAATAAGTAATTTTCATGACAAATATGTATTGTTTTATTTTTAAGAAATGGCAGTAAAATTTAAAAGCAATAAAAAAAATAAATTAATTCAGCTGGTGACGTGTATTTTCAAATAAAAGACGAAAAGTTACCATCTAACCGTCAAGTTCTTGCTGTACTTTTTTTTTAACATTCGCGAGTGTTAAAAAAAAGAGTTAAAATCCATACTATAACTATTAATTGTTATTTCTTACAATAAAGTTGTTAGGGGAGGGTTTTTTATTTAAAAAAATCTCTGGATTTAAGTCATAATAGATTTAAAAACTTACGTTAATAAAAAACACAAGTTTCTGAGGTGGATCAATGGGTTATTGTCAATGGGTCATTCACTGCTAATTTTTAGCAGTGAATGCAGAGTCCTTTTTTATGAATTTTATTAATAAGATTGTTATCACATTTTGAGCAGAACATCTTAATCAAAGGGCAGAAGAAAAAATTGGACAATATAAAAGCATTAAATAAAAGTCTCCTGTTTTTGTTATAAAAAATTTCTTATATGCAAGAGAGCAAAACATTTTCCTCTCCCACACAGATATTTTATTCATACCAAATTATGAAATAGTTGCTTGAACTTAAGAAGGTCAAAAAGTACTTTTCTACATTGTAGATATATAGATTCTGTTAACAACTTAGATTAGCAATACAGAACAAGCATTTATTTCAAAACTATTGAGCACCAATAACTTAAAATATTATTTACTTATTGACAAGAAAAGCAATCAAACATAGAACAAACTTAAAAAAATAATGTAATTGTGAACATCTTACAAAATCAGCAATCAAACATAGAATGAAATTAAAAAAATTCTGTAATTGTGAACATCTTACATAATCGACAAGAGAAACAATAGAATATATTGTTAAAAAAAACAACCATCAAACTGTAGTAAGTTATAGGAAAAGCAAAACAAAAAAAATATCACTTCCAATTAAAATTATTGAAATTTATCATTAAAATTATTGAAAGATATTAAATATAATAAATAACATTGTCAAATATTTTAATTGATGGTTTATAATTTCTATTCATTAAAAAAATTAAAAACTAGATAACTTCAGACTATCAATAAAACCATCCTCTTTTTTTTTTAACAAACTCACTTCCATTATAAGCCTAAGTTTGGTTGATGGAACATGATAACTAATTGAGCTGAAATTATGATAGTACTTATATGAAATTACCACTGCACATTACCATACATATATACATAACATACCACATTTTTACATTCATGGTATTTCTCATCCTCGACTGAGACATATTCAAAATCATATCACAAGTACAGGATTAGCCCAGAAAGATAAAAGAGGAAAACATAAAAATTGCCTACACGCTGTACCTGATCAAATAATATAACTCATTCATTCTCATATAGAATCCCTAAAAGGCTATCAAAGCCATTATTCTTTCAACAAAAATAAAAATGTAAGATACCTTCCAGATATATTAGGCATAAAAAAATGCACAAACTTCTTACAATTTTACAAAATCTAACTGAAATATGATACATAGTACAGAATTTTTATAGCCAAATACAATCTATCCTTTAAATCTCCTCGCAGCAATACATGTTCATACTGTGATTCTGTTAAAATAAAACTTCAAGTTTTTGAAGATGGCAAAAAAAAAAAAGACAAAAACTGGAGATAGAACACAAGCTTCATTTAGCAAGAGCTCAAAAGTTCACCAATAAAAAGCAACATTTAAAATCACTAGCGAGCTCTATATCATATCTCTATATTATAGTCATATCATTTGAATTCATGCAAAACTCGCCTTTGCCAAACATGGTTACAAATACTGTGTTTTATTCTAGGCAGTTATGGTACTATATATTCGGGATACATGATTTAGCCTGAAGTGATGTGTTCATGTATTTTTTATGAAGGAGATGAAGGAGTGGCCAAACATGATGAGCAAAATGATGTGACATCTAAATAAACATTTGCCACCCCTGTATATTTTGAATGACAGGTGTTCTGGACAGAATAAAAATTTTTTTATGATTTGATTTTGGAATATTGTAGTACATATGTTTAAAAAAATTGATAGTCTAATTCATATTTTTCCTATAAGAGGCCACACCTTTTCACTAAATGATACAGATTTCCATCAGTTTTTCTTGCATTAAACATCTGTGCAAAAATTAAATGAATATTACAGATGTAGTTACATCTTTTAAATTATCAAAGTGTAATAACATCTGTGCAACTACATCTGTAGATTTTAAGATGAAGTTATTTTTAAGATGAATGAACTAAAAATGCATTATTTTAACCAGATGTTATTACATTTAGAAATTTTTTCAGATGTAACTACATCTGGAAAAAAATATTAACTACTAATGCATTATTTTAACAAATGTAGTTACATTTAGAAATTTTTTCAGATGTTACTACATCTAGAGAAAATTCTTTCAGATGTTATTGGGCTTGGAGAAAAATTGCCAGATGTAGTTATATCTTTCTAAAGATGTTGTTAGGGATCGTTGAACTTTAAAATGATATTGGAAAGATGTTATTAGAGTAAAAGAAAAATACAGATGATCTTGGACAAAAGTGTACAGATGATCATGGACTACTCCACAGATGTTGTTGGACAGATGTAATAATCTTTTACCAAACAAAACAGTTCTGGATCTTAGGAAAGATTTAAAATGCTCAAAAAAAAAGCAACAAAAAAAACAAACAAAAAACAAACAACACCTACAACAATTTCCTACAAACTGTTATATAATTGTTTGATACCAATTAAGGGGGCCAAAAAAAGGATGTTATAAAATTGTGTTAATATTTACAAAATCCTCAAAATGTCTACTTTTATGAAAATTTGCCTTGAGACAGCGATACGGTAGATGCTGATGAAGAAGATAGCAAGGGATTAACTGACACATTAAAATTCATATTTAAATAATACAGTATTTTAGCATTAATATTTCAGTTTCTTTATAATATTTTGTATTTTATGCTAATACACATATTTTTCTTTGACTTTATACTATAAGAAAAATAAAATCAATCATTTTTATTTCTCCTTTTATAATCAATCGTTTTTATTTCTCATTTATATTCAAATTTCTCCATATTTTGAAGCAAAAACAGCCAAAGTCTAAATCTTTTGGAAAAACATCAAATGTCACATTAACTTTTTAATCAATATTTAATTATGCATAATTAATAATATTAGTTAAGCTTATTCATTACACAAAAAGTGGTTCTATGATTTGACATTTAAAGATACTAAGACATATTAGTATAACCATGATATTCAGTTTAAATGCTCTCCTGAGAAAAAAATCACTTGTGACATTTGAGGTTTTCATTTCAAGGTCTTCAATTAACAGAAAGCAAAGAAGAAAGTTAAAAAGTGAAAAACAGTTGATAAAAAAAACTTTAAAAAACTGTATGAATGAGAAAAACTTAAAGGTGGGAGAGAATTCCAAAGCATTTATGTGCAAGGAAAAAAAACTAGAGTTTCTAGAGCATAAAGGGACAGTTAAAGTATAAGAAAGTAACTTGGTTGAGTGTTAATGCATAATAAACTATAAGTATAAATTATAAGTATTATAAGTTATGGTTGATGGATAACTACTTGAGCTGAAATTATGATAGTACTTATATGAAAAAAAAAATTTTAAAAGCAACAAGGTTTTTTTTATATGTAAGACAATAAATTGTTTATTGTTAAATACTGATCAATTAAAATTGTTTATTGTTAAATACTGATCAATTAAAATTGTTTATTGTTAAATACTGATCAATTAAAATTGTTTATTGTTTAATACTGATCAATTAAAATTGTTTATTGTTAAATACTGATCAATTAAAATTGTTTATTGTTAAATACTGATCAATTAAAATTGTTTATTGTTAAATACTGATCAATTAAAATTGTTTATTGTTAAATACTGATCAATTAAAATTGTTTATTGTTAAATACTGATCAATTAAAATATTTAAAGAGTAAGAGTAAATAAACAGTTTAAGTTAATATAAAACAATTTTATAATAATAAAGCTATTCAGTGATTAAAGAATATTCAATGCTAATTATCATGCGATTTATCGAGTTTTTCTATTAATTTTCTAAAAATCAATGTGTTTTAGCCATAAGAAAAACAATTTTAGTTTTTTTTTAACACATTTAAAAGTCTTCTTCAATTAATTAATACACAAAAAATGATCCTAAATAAATTTATTTAGCCAAATTAAAAGTTTGCAGTTTAGGAAAAAAAAATCAATAGCACTCATTTTTAACAAGTTTTAAATTTTTTCTCTAAGAAACTTAAAACTTTTTTTTTTTACTGAAAATGCTGTTATATTTACTTTTTCTCTCAGATAATATAAAACTGCAAAAAATAACAACCTGTAACTGAAAAATGCAAGCTACTCTTATTGCACAATGCATGCCATCCAAACATAAACTAATAAGATTTCCGTCATCATTGTCCTGTAAACCAATACTAAATGCAGCAAGCGATGGTGTCCATGCCATCTAAAAAAAAGACAAAATTACTAATAAAAATGTAAAAAAATTATCAAAATTTAAACTTTAATAAAGAAATTAAAAAAGCAACCTTGAACATGGGTTTAACGTGTTGTAAATGAGTAGCTTGAATAAACTTTGTATTCATTTCTTTATGAGAGATGTCCCGCATCATATTTCTCACATTTTCTTCCATACTTTCCATTTCTTGCAGGTAAAGCATTCTACGCTGTTTTTCTGTTATTAAATCTTTAAAAAAAAAGAAAAAAAAACTTGAAAAATAAATAAAATTTAAAATGAAAACAATGAATTTTTTCTTACACAGCGTGGTTGGCCTTTGGTTAGGAGTTTTTTGATGATGCTTCATTTTAATCTCTCGCTCAAGGATTTCCTTATATATTCCTTCAAGATATTCTTGAGGTAAATCTTTACCATCATTGATACCTCTATTCATATTGATGTATTGTTCTTGAGTCATTTTACGCTTTACCTACGGTAGTTTATTAAGATATAATGATAGTAATATATATATATACATATATATATATATATAAATATACATATATATATATATATATATATATATATATATATATATATATATATATATATATATATATATATATATATATATATATATATATATATATATATATATATATATCTTAAAACAACTTTTTTGAGAAAAACCTGCTCCCACCCCCTAAATGTGTTCTATCTAATACAAAAACACTAGGTTTAAAATTTTTTTGAATAAAAATATTTTAAGGCGACCCTCAAGACCCTCGAATATTTAATGAGTCCCTAATATTTTCAAAAAAAGGTTTTTTAAAAATATTTCAACCTGGTACTCAAATGAAGTGAAATTATATAAAAATTTCAAAAATAATATTCATTTTGAAAAAATTGTTTTTTTGGTTTTATTACTTAAAAAATTATGTTTTTTAACAAAAAATGAAAAAAACTTTTTTTATGTTTTTTTTATGATAATTTTGATAAGTTAAAATTTTTTCAAAATCAGGCATGGACAGGAATGGCGTGCGATCGCACTCTGTAATTGACCACGCTAATATTTTTATTTCTTTACAACTTGACCACGGCTTTTTTGATGTTTTAACAATTTGAATGCAATAAAAAAAGTGTTACGTTATAAATATCTTTTAATCGTTGATCTTTTCTAAAGTTTTTTATTTTACGCAAAGGCTTTGAATTAAAATCATAAAATTAATTATAGTTGTTTACATAAACGCTTGTGTAAATTAATAAAAAACATTAAAAATAAGTTTTTTTTAATGTAGGCATTTATTTTTTATGATAAATTTAAACGTTTGAAACTATTTTCTTATGTCTTCCTAAATTATTTTTAAACCATTATTTTTAGAAAGAATTTTTTTAAGTTACTTTAATTTGTGAATAAGTTCAAAAACTTTTGTGACGACTAACTTTTACACATTTTATGTGAATTACGCAAGAATATAAAATAACTTTATTTACTAATATAAGTATGTATTTTGTTGATTTAATGAAAAAAGTTTTAAAGCATTTTGTAATGTTCATACGGCTAATTTTTATGATTAAATTTACAATTTTTTAAAATGTTTTAGATAAACATTTTATTTTTTGTAAACAATTTTTTTTTTTTTTTTTTTTCAATTTTGTTAAAAATGAGATTAAATCTTTTATAATAATTTTTAAATTCGTTACGAGAAGCGCTTATTATTAAAGTTGTAATGCTCAAATTAAAATTAAATTAAAAAGCTTGTTGGCAGTTTATTTAAATCGCAGGCGCATTTTATTTATTTTTTTCTATTTTTACCAATAAAAAAGTTCAAAACCTTTTTTTTAATTAGACTCACTAATTAGAGCATGAAATTAGTAAAAATTACTATTTTAAAAAACTACGTTCTATTTTTAAACAATTTTTTTTTTTGCAACTTTTTTGACAAAATAAATGTTTATACAATTTAAAAATATTGTACAAAACACTTTTTAATAAATTTAATAAAATTTGTTCTTTTATTAAACCAATCATTAGTAGTAATTTGTTACTTAATTTAAAAACGTTTTGCGTAACTTTAATAACGCTTAAATATATAAGTTTTAATAACGTTTATTTCATACGTAATTAAAAACGTAACAAAAAGTTTCGCTTCGAGTTTAAGTTTTTATTTTCATTTTAGTGCTTATATGATTATTGAATTTGTTTTTCGTTTTTTTTTCGTTAGGAATATTTTTTTCGTTAGGAATATTTTTTTCATTAGTTTTTTTTTTACTTTATTTTTTTTTTTTAATTTTTTTCCTAGTTGATGTTTAGCTTAGCGTTTCTACATACAGAACATTTCTATAATTTTTAACTTATCAAAACATATAAACAATCATGGTCAAGTTGTCAAAAAATAAAATCATTTGCGTGGTCAGCAATAGCGCTTGATCGCACGCCATTCCTGTCCAAGCCTGAAAATGAATATAACTTTTGTAATTTTTATATAATTTCGCTTCATTCGAGTACCAGGTTGACATATTTTTGAAAATTTTTTTTTTTGAAAATATTAGGGACCCATTAAATATTTCGAGGACGGTCTTACACAAAAATGTGCGGATGTTATTTCACTACTCCACTACTGTGGAGTAGTGAAATAACATCCACTACTGTGGAGTAGTGAAATAACATCCGCACATTTTTGTGTAAGATCGTCCACTTTTTTTCTTTACTGAATTAACATCTGTGCAACAACATCCAAAATTTCATTAATGTATAATACAATCTTTAGAAAGATGTAACTACATCCGAGAGGTTTTCTCGATGTGTAACTACATTTGCCTAAAATAATGCATTATTAAAAATAAAATAAAAAATAAAATAAATTTCCGGACGTAGTTACATTAAAAAAAAATCAGATGTGTAATTACATCTGGTTAAAATAATGCATTTTTAAATTACTTTTTTCCCGGATGTAGTTACATCCAAAAAAAATAAGATGCGTAACTACATCTGGTTAAAATATTGTATTTTTAAATGAAATATAGTCCGGATGTAGTTACATTAAAAAAAAATCAGATGTGTAATGACATCTGCTTAAAGTAATGCAATTTTTAATTTTTTTTTTTCCCGCATATGGGATTGCTGGTTACAGTATACGGTATAGTAAGTTTACTGTATACTTGGTATACTAAAAGTTACTATACACTTTACTATACCAGTTTTCTTTTACTTGTAAAATATTTGCGGACTGACTTGATGATTTATTGCTTACATTATATTTATGAATTAAGTAATTATATGAATAAAATAAATAAATAGTTAAAATTTCTTATATATTTTATCAGTTTACATATACGCTAGAAAATAAGTACAGTAGAATCCTGTTAAGTCGGGAATATTATAGTCTGACATCTGACTCTCGGTAGGTATAGAAAGTTCAAGGGGAACTTAAAATTTGTCCGACTTAGTAATAGTCTCTTAAAAGTCTATTTTTATTACTTTTACTTAGTAAAAATAAATGAGTCAAATGGATTCTAATGTATATATAAATTTAATTTACTTATAGTTCAAAAACTGTTCGTGGCCGAAAGGATAAAGCAATTCCTCGCATGCTAAAGACTCGAGGTCCAACTCTTAACGTTGTCTTTTTTTTTTGTAATAAGTTTTTAAAATTGTTTATACTTTAGTCAGTACATAGGTTACTAATACAAAGAGATGTTGCAGTAGGGTAGAAAAAATCCAGAGGGCAACCAAGTTTATTACAGGTTTACAGAAACTGGTAAAAAAATTGACAAAGAAATTGAATGAAGGAGTTTTTGTCTATAGGCAATGTCTGAATAACTAGCGCTCCTAAGAGGCGCCCGGCCTATAAAAATTGGTGGACCAGCAGAGCCCCCAATTTCAAAGTGTTTATTAATTTCTATATAAATTTTATGCATATTGCATATATATGCTTTTTCTTCATTCATTTTTTTAGGAATGGGGCCGTAAATATTTTTCAGCATGCAGCCCCCAAGAACCTTAATCCGGCCTAGTCTATGGCTCACCAAATGTGTCAATACAAGTACAAAGTTACCAATCTAGATTATCACACATTTTTAAATCATATCCCACTCACAATGATTTTACAAAGTTAGTATTTTGCCATCAAAGGTTTGGGGATAGACAGACATAAACCAAAGCCATAAGTCTATGTACATATTCTACGCTGCGACTATTTAGTCAATACATGCACACCCGCTGCCCTTATCCCTAATTAATTTGTTGTAAAAAATTACTTATGTAGTTAAATCATTGCAATTCGTATATGATTTAGCCAATAAAATACATCAGTTGGTGCATTAAGAACCCTGCGTTTTAAGTACTTTGCGTGTATGTTGGAATAATAGCCATTTAACTTCGCTATCAGGCAACAAAACAATAACCACGGACTATTTTTTATTTTCTTTTGCCTATTCTTTTCTAGTGGAAGCTATTAAAGTTCCACCACTTATATGGAACCATAAGGCTGTAATAGTCTTAAGAGATCTGTAATAGTCGAAACTGAGTGTACTATTTGTTATTAACGCCACACTTTATAATTTATAATTAATATTGTTTTTATTGGAAGACTACGTTTTACCCCAGTCTATATTTTATATTTAATACCGTTTTAGTGTCAAACATTTCGCAGTATCAACTTAAATTGTACTGGGAGTTAAATAAAATGAAAATTGCTTGTAGAAAATGTAGTGTGTCATGATTTGAAACAACCTTATACATACCCCCGATAATTTATAATATATTTTAGCTCTAATCTTTCCTCCACCCTCTTAGAAATATACGCTACAATCCTTAAAAGGTACAAAGACTCAGGGCCATCCCAATAGGAGGTTTTGGGTGCCTCCCCCCCTCCCTCCCCCCCTCCCTAAGCTGTTATTTTTGCATGTCAGTTTGCAAATTTGTATATTTATCACTTTGAGTTGGTATTATTATTTACAGTTGGCACATTTGTATATTTTTGTAGTGGAGTTTTTCTTGTTTCAAAGTGGAAGCTATTAAAGTTCCACCACTTGTTGGAAACATCAGGCGTCAATATCTTAAGAGAAAGAGGAAATAGTTTATATAAATGCAAGAGAGTGCTAGATAATGTATAATATTTGGATAGATGTCCAGTATTGAAGAATGGTATTTAAGAGGGGAGTATTATTCAGTGATTAAGTTAGAGCTGTGTGAGTGTTGTTTAAGTTAAAGTTGAGTAAGTGTTGTTATAGTATTGCGTATGTATTCCGTATTATTTGTGAAGATGTGGGGAGGGGGAGAGGGGAAATGAACAAAAATTTGTATATTTTATGCTAGACTTATATTTTATATTTAAAAATTGGCAAGTGGAGGGCCAGGGCCCCGCGATCCTCTTATTATCAAAATTTTTAACAGGGTTTTTATCACCCTAAGTCTAAACATACACCCCTGGATTTTTATAATGTTGGATTTTTCCTCATAAATATCTATAAATTGAATATTTTTTA